TCAGAAAGTACAAAGCTAAATGAGATATTTTGTAAGAGATGGAATAATAGAGGAGTCGTGACATGGAGATGAAAAGGAGGAGGGAGCAAGGCTGCTGATAAATATGTAGCTGCTTTTGTGAGTTCCACTCTGCGGCAGACAGTAATATTCCCGTGCTGTTCCGTGAGCCAGATTTACTGCTCTCAGGGAGAGATTCAATCTTTTTCCACAGAAGAATTGCTCCCAATTATATGTGTCCACATAAATAGTTTCAGTCAGTGAACAGGTTGAAATTGGTCAATTCCTGTCATCTTTGCCCAAGTAAATCTCAAAAGCAAATTAATGGGCTTTGGGGCTAACTGAGGTCGGAACGTGACTTACAGAAAAGTTACACACTGAATGCAACTCCATAGATGGAAGTTCTGAGTAGGTGGGGTTTTTATTTTAGACCGAATTTTCCTTCAGAAAAATGGGAGTTAAAGTGGACCAGATGACACAACCTGCGAAAGGATGCTGTAATAATAAATTGGAGACTAGCTAGTGGTTCTGACGATGGCAATCTAAGGAGATTAGAATTTCAAGTTGGAGAGAAGGTTAGGAGGGGGGAAGAAGCAGCTTATTCTTGCAGTCTTTATTGCAGTTGCACCTCTAACTTTCACAAACTATGAAATCTAGCTTTAAACCATCCTACAAATGGTGGATGCCTGTGTGTTCTATTCACAGAAAGTGCTCGTCATCATACAAATTGCTCAGTACCTGCAAGTTGCAGAGCGAGACTACGTTTCAGGCATGAGAGAAAAAACAGAGAAAACCCAAAAGTTTCAGTGAAATAACAATATTTGAATTAAAAAAGGAGCATATATGTTGCATATATGCATATAAGCTTGGGGACTCTTCTAGCTGCATACTGTATTTTTTCCATTTTATTGAAGCTCAATGACAGTGAATGAAACAAAATAAAAATGAGAAAGGCAGAGATAAATTTGATTTAATTTCAAATTCTAATGTTCAAAGATATTTTTACCATGCCATTCATGTCATAGCCTGCCTGTCCCATTAAGGTGTCATCTTGTGACGTCCAGCTACTACAAACTCAAGATTTATGTTTGTTGGGATGCCTGTCGGCTTTGTTGGCAGGGAAGGGCAAATGGGGAGGCATAGGTATTAACTCAAAGATAGATTTAATAGAAGAGGAAATTTGATTTATAGTAGAAATTCTTATCTCAATAAATTACATTTACGCGTTATATATTGAACAATGTAGTCATTTTGGCTTAAGTTTGTAGATAGGCACAGGTGTCTGTTTACTTAGCACATGGGATAATAATCATGTTTGCTACCATATTACCTGCCTGTAATTAATTTAGGAGTGCTCTGCTTTTTTGGAGAAAAATCTTTCGGCTCTTACCCGTTTCATTTCTCTGCATTAGATGCATTTCTCAGTAATGATTGACTTTCTGGATCTAACATAACAAGTAAGAAAAACACAAAGATCTTCTCTCACCTAAAGCCTCACAAGCTTCCAGAAAAAAACACACCCATTGTCAAACTTGTTTGTTTATAGTATTGAATTTTCTATATAGGTTGCCTTATCACTTTCATCTCTAACAACTTGTCTTTATTTCTAAGTTGACCTGTTATTTAACTGTTTCCACAGGAAATTTTATGTCCTGGCTGTATTAGTGTTTAAACTGCGAATTAGCTGCCTTATTACAGCCTTCTGACCACAAACTCCTTGTATCGAGGCTGGTAAAAAAACCATTTTGCAGTAAAGACAGAGATGAACAACTTTCCAGCTGGTAATCCCTTGAATACCTTCTTTGCTCTTGATGACAGAAGGAAAACATCACAAGGGAGACTCATACATTATGGAACACAGCCAAGCCAAACAAGCACAGATTTGACCCTTGGAGTCCTAGTGGTGTAGATGAGTGAGGAGTTTGCCAGTGTGAATGTAATCAACAGATTCAGCTGAGTCTGGCTTTATACTATTTATATCCAAACCAGGCTAGCTGTGGTGATTGGCCATAAAAGTTAAATTTTGGATTAGCTACATCTGAATGAGGTTGAAGCCAGCAACTTAGCCTGAGGACAGAAGAAAAAGAAAAAAAATGGGAAAGGAGCTTGTAGAAAAGAGATAATAAATTTGATGTTGACTTACCATCATCTCACAACCTGCCTTTCTCTTCTGGCTTTGGCTACAAGGAAAACAGAAGTCACCAGCAAAGTATGTGCTAGGACATGTCATTGTAGGTCATAAGGAAAATGAAGGAAAGAAATTTAAATACACCAGCACTTATATTTCCGCAGTATCCTGTATGATCTTTCTTTCCTGAAGTACTAGAATCATCTGCCAGGGTTTTTTTGAAAATTTTCCCCAAAAAAACCTATCGACCACTGTGAAGATAACACAATTAAAACCTTTCTTCCGCTTTTTGTCTAAATAATGATGAGTTTTCATTCGTCTTAGAAAGTGAAAGTGTATAAATGTTTGTCTGTTGTAAAAAAGTTGTCGCAACCTCCCCACAAAAAAACCCAAAACCCACAGCAAAAAGGACACTTCGGCCTGAATGTTACTCTTTGTTTTTCATTTGATTGTGTATTTCAATCTCAGTTAATTACTTGGCTTCCAAATGTAAACCCTGTCCAGTTCTTTCCAACATAATACTTAATATTCTGCCTTTCTACATTATCTTCTTAAGGATACAGATTGTTCTCACCATTCATTTTCTGCACATTTGCAAATTCACTTGCACAGATTGGGAGCCTTATGCTTCTTTTCGTGGACTTTAATCTCTTCCTTTATTTCTCTAGTCTCTTTGATCACAATCACAATAAACCCATCCTCCCTACAGGTTTTAAGACAAACCCAGATTATGTGGCTAGGAGAGGCAATAAGAGAATTAGAACTAAGAAAGAAATCAGTCTTGTTCTGTAATGACTTCTTATTTTCTACTGCTGATAGAATGAGAAGATTAAACCTCTATCTGCAAATCTTGTGAGGACAATGCAAGAAGGGGAGAAGCATAAATGATTAGACAACAACTTCTGCCAGCAAAGGGAAATGAGAATGTCGTTCAACAAACTTGGAATGGAGGAAATGGTCAGAGATAGCCTATGCAGCAAATAAGGCGTAGTTGAAATGGTTAAAAAATTCTTCCTGGTTATGACAGATTGGCAAAGGCATCTGTCATCCCCACTTCTATCAAAGAATTCTAAAGAGAGAAAAAGAATTTAAAACTATATTACTTTGAGGTGCAATATGTGGATCAAGCCTGTGATAGAGCAGGGCATGTTTCTTCAGATGCTGGGTATTAGTCCCAATTTAGGTCCTTGCAAACATGCAGAGATACGCATGTGTTTAAATTTATTAGGCTTGTACTTAAACCATATACTGATTCAGAGCCACAGTTGACCTGGTAATGTCCATTTAAGAGAAATCTCCATTATTTTATTTAAAGCTTGGGGATTATGGTGAAATGCATCTTGTTCCAAAAATAGTTCGACTGATTTCATCAAGGGACTGCTCTGTATAACTGAATTTGTTTAGAAAAAATGAAGTGAGGAAGCTTATAAAAAGCAACCTATATTTTATATATAAAACATAACAGTTATGTTTTAAAATGTAGCACAATTCTAAGGAGGAGCACTACAGGGAAAGGACCTCTCAGCTCAAATTTGTTAAAATAATCAACATAATTTTAATGCAAAACATGGATTGGAGAAGGAAAATAAGCACACAAATAAAAACAGACTGGAGTTTCCCTTTGTTCTGTTCTTCTGCAGTTTCAGACATGTTAACATTTCATATCCAGTTCAGTAAGCATTCAGTATTGCCTGTTTTATTCCAGTACTGTTAACTACCAAGGCAAGTTAAAATTGTAGAGTCAAACTTCAGCTTTTCATTTATTTGAATTATGATTTCCTGAGCAGTGTTGTTCATTGTAGTCCATTGCTCACTTTGAATGCTTTACCTGGGCAGCCGCATTTCTTTCAGAAACAATAAAGTAGCATTCTTGTTACTGAATAGTTGCTGGAATTTTGTATTTTTAGCTGTTCCTCTAGGATGAAATTAAATTAAATTAACAGAGCATTCCCTACATTTATTTTAAAAAAAGAAAACAAAAATATTTATGCTTCCTGGAAACGTTAGCTATAGAACATTGTGCCCCAAAGGAAAAAACACATCATTAGCTTGTTACTGATCTTGACAGTGTATGCGCAACTTCCCTGAATTTTATGGCACTAATTCATGATAGCCTTTTAACTAGTCGCTATTTCCAAGTCCTAGAATCATGAGTAGAAATTTACTGCAGGCATAGCATGTCACGTCGGTCACTAAGATGCCTAAATAATTAAATTATGGACACAGGCACAGAAGCATACTGTGCTGCAGATGCAAATGACCTGCATTTTCAAAATATACCTCTCATTTGCCTTGCATAGAACAAGAGACTTGGTGTTCAAACACAGGTCCTAAAGGATTGAAATGAAAATAAGCTTTATGTCTGCACAAACGGATAGTGGAAGTTTCCAGCTTCCACCAAGGGCAGTTCAACCAGAATTTTGATTCTCGGTGTAATGACAGCTTAGCCTGCCCAGTTCACGCAACACATCTGCATTTCATTATTATTTCCCTAGGGTGAAAAAGTTAGAAACATCCAGCGTCCAGAAAGTCAGATCTTTAACATAGTGATGGAATCTAGTTCAAAGGTTAGAGAACACAGTAAAACCAATCCTAGGTGTTGACTTTATTACTTGTGACCAAAGTCTCCGGTCTAAAAAGTGCAAGGAAGAACAACGGTGTGAGCAGTAAGTGCTGAACATGATGTGTTATATTTAACAGTCCACTGTCTTTTATCTGACATAGCGGGTTGTTCCCCAGAAAGTCTGTGGCATCATTCATTCAAACTGTTGTTCGTCTTGCTTAGGAATGCCTTGCCTATATATGAGCTTGAGAACATCCATTTTTTGTAAGGGTGGTATGCTGTTACAGTGTTTAATTTCTTTAACTCTTGCAGATTTTTGACAGAGAAGCTAAAGATCTGGAGCGAGAAGTTTGCTTCATTGATATTGCCAGCGATGAAATTCCTGAGCGCTATTACAAAGAATCAGAGGTAAGAGACAACTTGATTGTGAAATGGTGAAGAAGGGAATGTAAGAGGCTGCAGGAAACCCTTGATAGGAATCAAAACAATTTTATCTTTGTATGAAAACTTGCTGGTCGGTAGTATTTAAAAAGCTTTTGGGTAGAGGGGAAGCTGGTAGTAACCTCTATCTAGATTGCCTGGCACTTTCTTTTGCATATGATTCCTCCAACCTTGTGAAATGCTTTCATGCCCTTATCAGAACATATCCCTTACCAGACCTTTGATATTCAGCTGAATTCATTTGAAGTAGAAAAGGACTTTTCCTTAAATCATGAGGCTCAGTTAAGTGTTTGCAGGTCTGAGCAGTTTTAAACATTACTGTTGTCCTTATTTGCATCCTGCCCCAACTAATAAGTCATGTGAAGTGTCTAAGCCCAGGCAAAGGACAGATGTGCTGCGGTGAGAATAGGGTTGATGCATAGTTGCTCAGAGACAACCATGACACAAGACAAAGAGGGACTGAAGCACACGATATACTGCGGTAAATCTGCCACAGAGCATCAATGGCAGCAGACACGTTCACTCTCTTAACATTCCCTTGAAAATTGCTCCCATGTATATTTGATAGTGCACATCTCTGAAGAGCATGTTTCTTTCAGGTCAGTGCAATTCACTGTTTTGAAATCAGCAACCACCGTGCAAATGAAGATGAGGTCTCAATATTTTAACCTCAGACTTGAAAAATGATGGTTCACAAGAAGTAGCTAGAGAGGAATGATCAGATCTGTGCTTGCATTTAATTTTGGAGATATGGTTTGCCTCTGGAGCCAAGTGTATATTCATAGCTGGCAGTGAGTATGGCAGCTGTTTGACTATACAAAACGAGACTACATAATCATTTTTAGGATAGAAAATGAAGAGTTGCCAACGAATATATTTCTGTACCATAGGAGACATGAGTTTCAGACTAAAAAAGTCAGGTACTTGTTATCTTCCATTTACAGATCTTATTTCAAATTTTATGTATGGATCATAAAACAAAATTGGGTCTACAGTAGAAAGAAAAGGAGTTTTATTAGTTTCCTTAGATAATGAAACCCGTTTGTTATGTACCAAAAATTATGTAACACCTCATGAAACAGCTTATTGGTCCCATCATCTTACCTGAGCTCCATGGTCTTCTGGTTCCATTTAGGAATGGCTGCTGCTATTGAACGGGTCAGCATTTGACTGTGTTTTAAAGAAATAATGTGAGATTTTCATCTCAGTGTGTGCACTTCCAGAAATTGTAAACATGAAGGTAACATCTAGCTTTTCAGTTTCCCCCCCCATTTTTAATAGCCAACTCTTACGCATAATTTCCATATGATTAACCTTATGATATAAAAAAACAGCCTCACGTTAAGTGAGGAAAGAATTTCAGAGTCTTTCTTTGTGTTGTTATTTCAAAGACAAATCTAGAGACCTGATTCCAAGCAAAATTTTATATGGTTTTAAACAACAAAAATAGCCCAGCATCTGTTGTTTTTTCTGTACTGATGGGTGATTTGTATGTTGGCTACCTAATTCTGTTTCAGAATTCATACAAAATAGTAAGGAACATCATAGCATTTAACTGTGCAAATACTGTAATTGATATTGAATTAGTAGTAGTTGAATTCAGTATCTTCCAAAGTTTACAAACTATGGGGGTTTTTATGCTACCATATGATGAATATGAAGCCAAATTCCCATTTCTGATGAGGCCTCTTACATAATTTAGGGACTATAAAAAGACTTTTAATGTTTGTAAATGTAATTTCCATTTGTATTCAATCAGAACAGCATAAAAAAGTAATTCTATGTAAATGAGAAACAGTCTGTGTTTTCCAAATAACAGTTTCAGAGATAACTAAAAACCATTTACTGTAAGCTTTTGAAAGGTATTTTAGTTACACTAATAACAACAATTTGTCTGCTTTTAGAGCATTTAATCTGAATTGATACTAAGTTTAAAGACTAAAAGTGAAGTACAATCCTCAGGATTTAAGAATTAGGTCCCACAGGATAAGTGTTCTGACTCCCATCCAGAAAGACCAATGAGAATGATTTTAACTTCAGGCCCATTAGTAATCTCTTCATTTCAATGGACCTTTCACATGCTCAGTGGTAAGGAAGTTCTGCATCAGGGTCAGCATACTTACTGCCTTCTAGAAACGAGCTTTAAAATTCTTTTATATCCTGAATAAAAGTGTGTCCCTCTTCAATTAAAAATATACTTCAGTTTTTAACTGCAGTTTTCATTAGTCAGCTGTATTACTGTATATTAGCGAAGTAGCTTAAATAATTTAAACCTTTCACACACTACTGAAACTGCTTGCTTTTTGTTAGTGCTTATGAGCCTGCTTGTAGAGGGTCATTTTGATGTGATCAGACAGCACTAATTACATAGTTGCTATTAAACTAGTACTTGTGATTTCAGTTATTTTTAGCTTTGAAGTGCTCAGTTATCCTTCATAAACTGTTTGGGTCAATACCATATATTTTTCAGAGTCCTCTGTATGAAAAGCCCCTTTCTACAATTCAGCTGCGACCTTTCTTTGAGTTAGTGCATCACATAACTCATTGATTATAACAGAATGAACCATAGCAGCTTTAGTGTTCTTTTTCTTGTTTATATAAATGGAAGATATGGTTGTATACGTATTACACCGATACCATCAGTAGAGGTAATAATATTGCAGGTACCACAGGAGGGTTCAGGAGATACCCAAGGGACCCATAGCATCAGGAGCACATTCTGGAGCACAGGTCTTATGAGGAGCAGCTGAGGGAACTGGGGGTGTTCAGCCTGGAGCAGAGGCTGAGGGAAGACCTCATGGCTCCCTACAACTGCCTGACAGGAGAGGGGAGCCAGGGGTGGGGATCAGACTCTGCTCCCAGGGACCAGGCGATGGGACAAGGGGAAACAGCCTCAAGTTGTGCCAGGGCGGGTTTAGGTTGGACATCTGGAAAAATTTCTTCCCTGAAAGGGTTGTCAAGCATTGGAACGGGAGTCCCCATCCCTGGAAGGATTTAAACGCTGGGCAGATGAGGTGCTTAGGGACAGGGTTTAGTGGTGGGATGGCAGGGTTAGGTTAATGGTTGGACTTGGTGATCTTAAAGGGCTTTTCCAACCTGAACAATTCTGTGATTCTACGATTCTGTGATCAGGCTCAGTACAAACAAGTGAAGCAACTGTTCTCTGCTTCCTAGCACATATGATCTGAAAAATTGTTTTTCAATTGCCCTGACATGAATCTTATAAACAGATGTATATTCTTCCTTCCATTGTGACTTACATAATAATAATTCACACATAAAAACTAAAATGTCTAAAATATCGTCATATGTATAATACCCCATTTGAATTACATAGCTCATTTTGAATTGTGCTGGTACTGATAAGAGAGGACAAATGTTCCGTGAAGATGTCATGACAGTTGAAGGGAAAATGATTGAATTCAACTTTGTGCACATCTGCTTTTTCTCTCCTTCTAAATATTAACTGAAATTGAAAAGTAAAGAATATAGTTAGCTGGAGGTTTAAGGAGAGCTATTTTTTCCTTGAGGAACACTTTAAAGGAACTTCTGCCAATAATAGAGTGATCTCTTGACCAGAATCATCCAAGTGATTTGAATTCCCTTAAGAATGGAGGGCTTATCTGTCAGTGTATCCACAAAAGGACTTAAATCACCAAGTATATAGTGAATCAGAAGACAGTTTTGTTAGCTATTACAAACATATACACAGAGTCCAATTCTGTCTTCTGTGGAGGTACACTGACTTCTGCTGTCAAAAGAGTTGCCCTTGTAGAAGACTGGAGGAGGTATAACTGCAGCAATTCCAGGTATCCCAAAGCACATGACTTAATTTTAACCTAATGATCATCTACAAACTTCACTCTGAAGGAGCCACCAGAATACTTAGCAGTGCCGCCACATCTCAAATAAAGCTTTTTTTTTACAAGCATGGACCTAAGAATCCTTAAACCTTTAAGAAGTTTAAATGTTAGGTTCCAAATCGAGAAAGCTTGAATCTAGATCCAAGCTAACAGGTTTGCCTGTTTTTCTGTAGGGAGTCACATATGTTTCCAAATCTGAATGTACATATTACACTGAATACAGAATTTTGTATTTCTGTATGAAGAACGTACAAGCCTACAGGTAAGAGTAGTTGCACATTTTGTAAAGTCATTTCCTTGTGACTTTACCATCAATGAATATGTATCACCAGCCATCGTGTATTCCCCATATAGACATACATATTTATCTGAATTATAGAAAAGAATAAAACCAAGCTATGCTGAAGAGTGAGGCCCTCAAGTGACTCATGCACTGAAATGAGACATTTACTGTAGATATGAGCTACTGAGCAAAATGTCCTTTGCCACCATGTTCAAGTTCTCAAAATGAATAGTGGTTCCTTTCCTGTTTATAACAGAGCAGTTGAGAGTTGGACAAATGGAATAAACTTTTTAAGTTACCTCCAAACAGAAAGATTCCATCCAGCTGCTGCAGCGCTCCTCAGTTGCTGTCTTTTTTGCCTTTCACAGCTGCGCTGTAATAGGTCCAGCTCACTACTGTCCAGGTGCTGTTGGAATAACAAAGCCTCTGTCACGTTACAGAGCCAGCAAATGATGGTAGTTGAAATAATACAGCTGCCTCGGCCCCCGCAGTGAATGTGTGCAACATGTCAGGACAGAAGTTCAGTGCAGGGCATAGCAAAACCAGATGAATATCTCCTTTTCCTTACTAACTTCAGCTGTGAGCTTACATAAGGGCTGGCTGCATTATCATATTTTAACACCTTAGATCTGTCCCAATATTTACAATTCTGAAGTATTTAGCTGGCTCTTCCAGAAAATACATTTTAATGGAAATGCAAAAAGAGGAAAAAAAAGTCTTTAAAAAACTGACTCCACATAGATCTCTATAGTAGCGTCTTTACATCAACAAGTCTTTTTAGAGCCCTAGCAGTATACGGTGAAATCCAAAACCTAGCAACTGGTCAAATGCCAGATCACATGTATTAAAACCACGAAGGATTGGTTCTGAAATTCAAGATCAAACAAAATGGTCTTCAGCTTAAAGGGAAAAAAAAAAAAAAGTGACTGCACTTCAAAAGCACCGTGGTGGAATATGTTGCAATGGGAATCTGAAAAAAACAAATCCATGCTCGAAAAAGAAGGAAGAATCCTTAGTGCTGTCACACTTGAGTAGCATCCAGTAAGAGAATAGGATGTACGGCATAACAAATGCACTTTCACCTCTGGAGAGCATGTTCAGCCGGGGGATCTCTCCCCGTGCTAAAATGGCCATACAAGCAGCAATAATGTTCGAGGCAGATCGGTGACAAGGCTAACAAGGTTTTCCGTGCAGGCTTCCAGCATACAGGCAAAGGAGGTGGAGTTAGCTGCAGAATAGTATGGGATCTTCAAATTGTGCCTGATACCATGGCAAAGCTAAGGGAAAGCACGCCCATTCAGATTGGGAACTTTTCTGTAAACAACAAATGTATTTCATTATTGAACTTGAAGTAAAAAATAGCATTTCAGAATTAAATCTGAAAAGGCATTGCAACAACCCAGGGCCGTATTGTCAACGTGTTGGTGTTTGCCTCCTGGAAAGGGGGTTGCAGTTCCACACCTGAAGCCCATGACGTCTGCAGTCCATGAGGAAGGTTAAATAAATAAATACTAAACACAAAATAATGGAATCTCCAGCAACAGGCACGATAAGCCAGGATCTGCCCGACGTGGCCTAACTAAGAAACACTGTGAGAGTGCAATGTTTGAAACCCCATCCATTGCGCTGTGGCTTTTATTTTATTTTATTGTAATTTTACATTTTATTCTCAAATAAGCCCAGCTCATGGGTAATGATGTTTCTGCTATGTTAGCAGAAGTGCTATTTTTAAATCACTCTGCACCTGGCAATAATGTATTGCAAATACAGGGTAGGTTTTGCTCCTCTGTAGCAAAAGGATTTGCCAGATGGGCTTTCCTAATAAATTGTGTCTGATAAAAGGACGAGAGGGTTATTTAAACAAAAAGATTTTAGCTATGCCATTACATTTAAAACAGATTGAGGATTTTGCCAGTAGATAAATTAAGGGGAGAGTAGAGAATAGACACAGTATTCTTTGGATGATGGCTTCTCTAGAAAGGAAGGCATGGGTAGCTAAAAGCAAAAATATGGCACACACAAAATTAATCATCTAAATAATAACATTAAAATGGGTCAGACCAAATAGCAGCTTGCCCAGTTTCCAGTCACTGACAGAAGTGTTTCAAACTCATCTGTGCCACAGTTCCTGCCTAGAACTGCTTTGCTCTACCCTGGTGGCTCTGGTATAGGTTTTGCAAAACGCCATACCTTTCACGGGAGGAGTAAAGAGCGGCCGTGATCCAGGGGGGCAGGTGCCCTGCGCTTCTTCCTGGCACCTGCAGAGACATGAGCATGGCACATGAGTCTAATTTGTTCTATCTGACTAACCTAACCAGTGAGCTACAGCATCGGAGTCAAGAGGAGAAACAGTGCTGTGTACCAATATAATTTCTACCTGCATTTAATAGAAAATCATCACCCCTGATTCATTTTAATTTTTTTAGAAGGACCTTAGACGCCTAATTGCAGAAAGGATTCCAGGCTGTGAATCTTCATGTGGCAATTTGAAGCCGTGAGTTAAGCACGTAAAATCATTCTGATTTGTGGCTTTCATGTCAAAGTTGTCATTGATTTCAGTGGCAAAAGATTCTCAGTCCTGGTCATGCCAAAGGTCCTTCTGGCATGGTATGTTCCTGGTGGCGGTGGCCAATAGCAGAGGCCTAGGAAAGGTGTAAATATATGCAAAATACAGAGATTCTTCCCCTAAATACTTTCTCGCATGAGCCATAGCACAAGAAATTGCTGAGCCAGAATTTGTATCTTCTCTAAAACAGTCCAAGGCTTTTTTAAACACCTGATTTTTTAGCATCCAGGTAAAAAGCCCAGTGATGTTCGTTTTACTTATGATAACGACTCACCTCTGCCTGTAAAACACTCATGCCCTTTGAATTGATGGCCCAGAAGTTAAACTCTCAAGTTCACTTTGCTTAATGTTGCTGTCATCTCGCTACTCAGCTTAAACACAATCTTTACGTGCAGCTCCCAGTGAATTGAGCTCTAGCTCGCCTGAACAAGCACTCAGTAAAATCTTTAATTCCTTGATCTTTTATACAGCAGTCTGGAAATCTACTCTGAATTCTTTCTTCTTCCTGGCTTCCATTCATCAGTCAGCAGTTTTATAGTAGCAATATGCTAATGCTTTCAGAAAGGCAGGAATTTCCATAAAAGCTATTAGATATAAGTTGCCCATATTGTCCATCATTGCCTGGCTCTTTGCTTGAAACTGTCCAGCCAATTTGTGACTAAACATCATGTCCTTCAAGAAAAATGGACATGATTAAAGGAAGGTGCCATCTCTGGGCGCTGTTAAAGGAATTTGCAAGTAGGAGTGATGTCATGGATGCATTGCATTGCAGTAGATAGATTATTTGTGGGCCACCGATTTAAGAAAGATTTCCACTATGAATCCTCTTGTCTGCTGGGTTAACGTCACAAAAAACAAAGCAAAGCAAAACACTGCTTTCACAGCATCTGGAGGGTTCTTGTAGTTTGAATGAGACACAAGTTTTATGCATGACTGAGCAGTCATGCAGGGTAGCTGTTCATAATTTAATTTTTATTTATAAATTCTGAATACTTGATACTGACTCAAATTAAATCCCTTCGGACTGCACTGAAGTTATTCCATTATAGGCCTGTTATTGCTGAAAGGGTATAAAGTATCTCTGCATAACACTCAGTATTTTCAAAGTGTGTATCTGAAATGCTTAATCAAGGCAATGGTTCCACCACACTAGCACCATATGTGCATGTGAGAAACAGCAGACCTTT